CTTTATCCTATCTGTTTCTGGGGTGTTTTAGAACTCCCAAAAGGCAGAATATTCACAAAAGGACATTATTTCAGACAATATTATTGTTCATATTATTATTTTTGTTGTTGTTACTGTTATTAATATTGTTAATCTGTCAAGCTTGTCTTGAATTTCTGCTAATGATTAACTTAGCATTTTAAAAATTATTTTTACTTATTTGTTACTTAAATAACACCCATGCACAGAACATCAGCAAGCCCTAATTTGTTAATTACTTATTCACTGGCTTGAGGCAATCTAGCTCTTTTAGAGACATGTTACTGGATTCTTTGTTGGTTGAATTTTATCAGGGAAAAGGGATGACTCACTGGAGGTCAGGCAGGATGGCACAATACACCAGATGTGGTAAATAGGAACTCCAGAAGGCAGGTTGTTACAGCAGCAGCAGCTAAATCAGAAAGTCAGCTCACACACAACATGATCTAAGATTCTCTGAGTAAGAAGTTTTAGAAAAGTTTTTGGAAGTAGTAACCTAGACCAAGTGATTTTTATTAGATCAGGACTCATTTATTTTTATAAGTACTAGCATGCATTTCTGCAGGCTACTATTCAGAGCTTCTGATGATGGTAATTTTACTTAAATTATTAGTTTGAAATTTCTCTGCTTACTGACCTGCATGCAGCTGGGCTCCAGCAAGGTGTGTTTATTGCCAAGACGTGGAAGACAAGCACTAAACCTGGGGCTTTGTAACTGGTAACACCACAATGGTCCCTGCAGTTTTGTTGCCATCACAACGCAGGCATCCCTGTCACTTATGTCTTGTTCAAGGGTGAGAAAAAAGCTGTCTGCTTTAATAAGGTGGGGTCAGCAAGAAAGTAGATAGCACAGGTTGGAAGCTGTGTTTCAGTTCCCTTTGTAATCCAAAAGGTAAATTGTAAACTGGAGGAAGTTACTGTTGGTGCGGCTAAGGCCAGGAGCCAAAGGGGCACTTCAGGTGAGCTGTGGGTGTGTTTCCCTGGCCTGATGAGTTAGCCCAGTGCTCCACTTGGGCCACCCAGCTCTGCTGAGAAGCTGTGCACATCTGGTCAGATGAAATTACATTGCAAGCCAGCCCTTGTGCTAACAGGGGTAGCTGAGCCAGAGCTGGCTCCAGTGCTTTCTATTGAACCAAACTGTACTGCATGGACATCTTCTGTCTTCCCATCTCAGGGCTTGGTTCTTCTGGATTAGGGATGAAGTCTGATACTGATAATACCTCTGCTACATGCCTTCTTTAAACAAAAATTCTGATGGGTTTCTCAACAGAATCCTGTAACCTTATTTAGTTTAGGCTCTATAAATAGCAGCTTACAGCACTAAGGCTAACCAAATATCTCTCTGTCAAAAACATGGAGTTATTTTCCTGCAGATCCTTAGCTTTCTGGTGTTGTGTTTTATTGCTGTTGCACAGAACACATCACATGCCTTGGGGAGCAGTAAGTGCTACTGCATGAACTACATCAGCACGGGGTGCTGCCAGTTTCCCTTTGGTGCTTCACTCACTGGCAACCTGTGAGGATGTCCAAGGCCCTGGATCAAACATCCACCTGAAGGACTCAAACATCTTGAATGACAGCTGAAAACAGATGTCCAGTTCAGTCTTTACCACTGTGACCCCTCTGCAAACTGCTGGAGGAGCTGCAATCCCGACTCAGCCCTGCAGTTTTACTCAGATGCCATTCTGAACATGCTATTCATTTTTAAAACCTGGTTTTGATGTATTTGAAAAGCAGCCCCGGTCTGCACAGCTGCCAGCCCTTGCCTTCCCCCTTCCTTGTTTCTCTGATCTGCTTGGGAGAAGGTTCCAATGACATTCTCCTCATAAATAATCCCAGCTCAAGCAACTCCTGTGGGGTCCCCTGTTCCCATACTGTTGCAGATAACCCTAAGCAATCACAAAGGTAATTCAGACCCTGTTCCCAGGACAGAAGAAGCTCTCAGGTTGATCCCAGAATGATACTCCTATCTCTCCATCTCAGCCAGAACTTCTCACACAGCTTTGCAGCTCCTCATACCAATATCTAGTTTCTTTGCTTTTTGGAAATTTTCCATTCCCATGACCTCTAGTTCTCTGAGAAGGGCTTTGGATCAAACTACTTTTTCCAGGTTTCAGCTATCTTGCTGCAGTTAGTGATTCCACACCTCTCATCTGCCAGAGTCAATCTCCAGTCTCTGTCAGGAAAGGAACATCTCTCCTCCATGTGGGAGCACTGTGTATCATAGCACTTTCCAGGAAAATTCATAGCATCAGACAGTTAATAAGGTTCCTCCAAAGGAATTCCTGGAGTGTTCCAGAGGAGCAGGCTGATTTCCAGCAGAATGAGTGGAAAATCAGCTACATCTAAAGAACAAAATGTAATAATTGCTCATGTCATATCTTATACTTTCCATACCTTTGTATCTCTAAAACTGCCTGGGTTCAGAAATTTTGTGGGAGAGCTCATGAGGTGAGGTAAGGTCAAAAATCCTACCACAGCTGTATTCAGAATTTTGAAACAGGAGAAGGACGCAGCTGAGGTCTTTAGGATATTACCACAGCCTATACACCCTGGCAGGATTTCACAGACCTTGAGGAGTGAAAAGGGAAAAAAAACCAGTTGCAACAGAGACACTTTCAGCACAGGCAATGGGAACTGCTAATGAAGGACAAAGGGAACAGAAAAGAATGATTATGAGCTCCAGTATTTTACTGCTGAGTTTGACGTCTAGTTAAACAATACATACATTTAGAACCAGACATCCAGTAGCTTCCATATACAAATGACCATGGTACCTTGGCAAATTCACAGGGCAGAAGGAAAAGCCATTTAGATGATGCAGGCTGCCAGGAGCAGATAGACAGTAGTAGGTAAGCAAGTCAGCTGGAAGGAATGGGAGGGGAATGAAGGAGTGTGGGATATCCAAGCTCTAGGCATCTACCTTCCCTAGCTCAAATTAACCAGCTAATTTCCCCAGGTGCTCTCTATAGAAGCAAGCTTCTCCAGAGGACAATTCACTGCACAATATTATACTGCTGCTCTACACAGCTCCCATGAATTTGTTTCCTAGGGAAATACTGCTCCCACCAGCAATTGCAAAGCATGCTCAGGGAGATGTGCTCACTAATTCTGATGCCTAGAGATGTGTGAATCTCCTTTCCTTTTCCCCCCTCTCACCAGCTACCCATTCTGAGTTAGCATGTAAGCGAGTGGCATTCACCCCATATTCACAGATTAGGAGTTTGTCAAGGAACAGGAATTTTCACTGGCTGTCATACCTAGCAGACACACACAGGAGATTCCTATTCATTCTAATTCCAGATGGACTGTTTGTGTTTTGCCACAAATCCACATTTCCCCCTCACAGAGCATCAGATCTGCCCATGCCATGTCCAACACAGTGGCACAGAAATCCCTATGAATGCTCGGTAAGGTATCCATTTGGGTGGACAAGCACAGGATCTACCTGCAGAAATCTGCTGCCAGTTCACATGGGTCTCAATCCACTGAAGGCAACAGGAGAATTTTCACTGATTTTGACAGGGGAGATTTAAACAAATGTCACATGCAGAATTCATTCACACATCAAGCTCCAGTCATTGCTAAAATCCAACTGATTTGGAAGAAAATTGTACAGGCTTTTCTTTCTTGTTTCCAGCAGAGTGAATTGTATCCAGATTCTGAATGAAGATTTACCCAAAGGAAGACTCTTAACTGTCAGTAATGACTGGCTGCAATTATGCATGCATTCACAACATATGTGCTCACTTATTAAAAAATTGCCCATATAATAAAATAGAAAAAAAAAAAAAAGATTGTTTTGGTTTGAAAGAACAATTGCACACACTGAAGTTGGCTTCTATATTAATACAGCATCAGCAAATGCTGTAATTAGAAAGTAAAAGGCAACCAGAGGAATTGTTAATAGCATTGTGCAGTTCTTAGGCTTCTAAAACTTAAATGCTTCTTTAGGGAAGTGATGTTTTCATGTGATCCTTTGACTACAGTAAAAATGCTAAAGACCCATTCCCACAGGTGTCTTATGCTATAACCTGGGTTGGTTTTGGCTGGGGTAGAGTTAATTTGATTCAGAGTAGCTCATATGGGACTGTGTTTTGGATTTTGCTGGAAACAGTGTTGATAACACTGGTATGTTTTAGTTATTGCTAAGCTGTGTTTGCACAGCCTCAAGGCCTTTCCTGCTCTCACCCCATCCTACCAGCAAGTAGGCTGGGGGTGCACAAGAATTTGGGAGTGGACACAGCCATGGCAGCTGACCCAAAGCAATATTCCATACCATATGGCATATAAAGCTGGGGAAGGAGAATGAAGGGGGGGACATTCAGAATGATGGCACTTGTTTTCCCAAATCGCTGTCGTATGTGATGCAGCTCTGAAGTCCTGGGTGTGGCTGAACACCTGCCTGCCCATTGGAAGCAGTGAGTGAATTCCCTGTTTTGCTCTGCTTCCACGTGCAGTTTTTGTTTTATCTGTTAAACTGTCAACCCACCTTTATCTCAACCCACCTTTTTCCCCCCTCACTATTACCTTTCTGATTCTCTCCCCCATCCCACTAAGGTGCAATAAGCAAGCAGCTGCCTGGTGCTTAGTTGCCAGCTAGGGTTGAACCATGACATAAACACACGGGTATATTTGCAAATTGCTGTTTTCTACAATGCTATTCTGAATTTATCACTATTCCAAATTAATTTCTCTGTCTCCAGAAATGCATTAGTGATTTTCTTTTCTTAAATGCAAGATATTTATTATTTTTGCTATGATCCACTCCCATGCCGAATTAGAACATAAATGAAGGAGAATAATATGCTGCTTCAAGTACAAAGCCAAAAATACTTAGGTTCAGTACAGAGCAGGCAGGCAATGCATTAGTTCAATGCACATTTCTCATCTCTGCTGGGAAAGGATTTCTATGTTGGCACAGGGCACCAGAAAAATTGAAAGAAATCAACATTTCTCTATCAAGAGACAAGACTCTTCTCTTCTGGTTTGATACCAATAGAGATTTAATTTGATGATAGTTGACCTCCAGTGTGAAAACCAGCCACACCCAAAAAAAAAGCATAAAACACACAAACCACCCCCCAATATCTAACAGGCAAGACTACTAATTAGAGTAAATGCACAGAACAATTCAGGGCAATTGGAAGAAAAGGTCAAGACTGTGGTGGCACAAGTTATGTATTTCAAGTAAAGAGGTGGAAAACTGAACTGGAACTTCATTCTAGAAAATAGTACAGGAATAGTCTTGAGACATGTTCATTTTCAGACATATCTGGAATGGGGGGACAGACCCTGGGAGAGAGAATTATATATAGTATTTACAGTCCTGCAGGATCTACTGTCAGGGATATTCCCAGCTGAATCACAGGAAAGCTGGTTGTTGCTAGGCTCCTAACTGCCTGAAAAAACAGGGATGCATCAGAGCAGGGGAATTGCTTTGGTCTGGTGCAAACCAGAAGGCACAGGGTATATCCCAGACTCTCCCAGAATACCTGGTGAGCCCAAGAATCACAAGTGGTCAAAAAGAAGGTAATGAAACAAATAGCAACTGCTTGATGACAACAGAGCTTTTCTGCCTGCCTTGTTCTTCCTTCCCCAAGAGCAGTCTCAGGAATAGATTTTCTCTGGTTCTTCACAGTACTGCTGGATCACCTCGGCAAGGTCAAGACACCGCAAAATTCGCCATTTCTCAGCAGCCAGCTCCTCCTTGGAGACCTGGCCCAGCAGTTTCTTGGCAAAGAGGTTCTGATCCTGCATGAAAAGGCCCACAGAAGACCTTGGGGCTTCAGGGAAATTCTCCAGGCAACCACTTGTGAAACAGAAGTTGATTTTCTTTTCACGTCTCATCCCTGGTCCCCTTTCTTCAATCCAAGTCAAGGGTCTAGTGTGAAGGAGCAGAAAAAAAGTATTAATTAAGAAATTGAATCAACAATTCTAGGTTGTTTTCTCAGTATTTGCAGAAAATGCTCTAATAAATGCACCATTTTAAAATATCAATTATTGCACATTTAGGTAATGTGTCCTGACCAACATGCCTTGTGGATAGAACTCAACAGCAGGTAATAGTCTTAACTCTGCCACTGTTTCATCCTATGACATTCAGCACACCATCTAAGCTCTGTCCAGCTTTGTCTTCCCTATGCACAATGTGAAGCAAGCAACATCAAGCCACGTCATAAGGAAGAGGTAAGTCTGTGGGTTGTTTGTGGACTTGTATGGAAAGTGCAGTTAAATGTCCAAAAATTTTGTATATAATTCAGTCACAGCTAAACTCAAATGGCCCTCAATGTCTAGTCATTCCTCCAGCAAGAATAGATTTAAGTCACACAGGTACATAATCATGACCCAGGTGCTACTGTGTGAGCTGGACCCCAGTGGACAAATTCACTGACACAGACACAAGTGTCCATACTCTCTGAACTTTTAAAATGTTTCATTCTCATCACTGGGAGCACTGTGCTGATCCTAAAAATTATACCTACACAGACTCTCAAGAAGGGCTTTCTTAATCAGAGCAGAGTCCTGTCTTACACCAACAGGATAGCACAGTCTCCAAACCAAGGCTGGGGAACTGGCTATTGACTTGCATAGCTCACACCTTCCTTCCCAACTTCCCATCTTGGCTGAGGGGAAAGGAGCCATGGGACATGCTGTGCCACTTCATGGGTCTTAACACAGTCCTTCCCAACTTCCCATCTTGGCTGAGGGGAAAGGAGCCATGGGACATGCTGTGCCACTTCATGGGTCTTAACACAGTCCTTGACCCAACACTGCAACGCCTTTGAGGAATGGCCCTCAACATCAGCCACAGTCACAATGCTCCCTTCCTGGTCTTTTGTCAACTGCCTGAACCACACCATTGCCTTTCTGCAGCTCATTCATCAGCACTCACTACTGCCTCTGTTTAGAGGATGCACATTATTTTTCTTACTTGGTTATTGATGGCCCTTCCACAGTTCTTTATAGCCTACTTTAGTCTGCCACTCACAAATGATGAAGGCATCAATAGCCTGGAAGAATAAATTCTGTCTCCAAGTACTGCCCATGAAATCTTCAGTATCATTAGATCTGGAAAGAAAGTCCTTATCAATCTGCCCTGAACACATTCTGCAGAGTGCTCAGCTTAATGTTTCTGCCCCTCTCATATTTTATGCTCCAGGAATCAGTTTCTATATTTACATAGTCATATCAATTATTCTTTCCTCACCTGTACTTCCACATCTCCACCACCTCCCCCTACAAATTAAGTATGGCCAGATGAACCTGATTGAACAGAATGAAAGAATGGGGGAGGGGGTGGGGAATATCCAAATCACAGCCTACAAGAATGAACAAAAAAATTCTCAGAGGACTAATAAATGCAAAGGCAGCATGTGTTTTAGGAAGTCCCAGAGCTACATGTCACTGCAAGCCGGAAGGGTGTTTAGGGGCCATATTGCTCAGTGTTTTCCACGTTCCCATCCTACTTCCCTGAGGTAAAGGCTGTTGATTTGGGTAAGAGGCAGGCTGCTGAGCAAGCTGGGCTTTGCTTTGACTTGACAGAGCTGGTTTTATATTCCTATGATAGTAAAGAGTCAGAGAGGGTTGAGGCCGCTTTTACTCAAAGCTGCTTTATCTCAGGTGGGTAGGCATGAAGAAACCACTGGGCAAGCACAGGCAAAGATTTACATCATGTAATAGCAAGGAGCTCTTGGTATGATCCAAAACAGGCCCTGTCGGTGCAGGATCACCTCCCTGGGGTGATCTAGAGCATATGCACACCAGTGATCAGACTCAAGTTTATGATTTCTGCTCTAGCTTGGGAAGCCACTGAACCAGAAGCACAAACATGCGGAGTGGGAAGAATTTAACCAAAGTGATTAGAATGACTGATTTAGATCAGTGAGCAGGAAAATGTTGGATTTACTAATAGATTTATCTTCTTCTGCAATTGGATTTTTAGTCATAGTCCCAAAGAGAGATTTATTCTACTTGATTGGTAAGCAAAATGTATTCATTTTTAATTAACAACTTCTACTCTGAAATAAGCCTCTTGTTTTGCTATAAAGATAAGTATGTTGTATTTAAGCAGTTTTGTAGCTTAAGGAACAGATTTGTATTTTATGTCAGAAAATTGTGAAGGGCTGTAGCTTTTTTTGGGTAAATAGACAATTTACCCACTTTCATTAAAATTTGTATCAAAGTATTAACTAGTTACAGATATATTTAGTTATTTAGAAGTGTTAGTAGAGTTACTTACAAGCAACAAATCCAACGTTTTTGATATCTGAATAAAGCCAGGTTACATATGTTGGGTAGTTAAAGAAAATTTAATCAAGCACACAAACCACCTTTATACTGACTATTTGCAAAGCAAACATTCTGCAGTGAAGAAAATACCCTGATTTTCTATGGCCATTTTGTCTTTCCAAATTGTAAACTGATAGCATTTTCTCAGCTACATTGAAAAAGACTTTTTGCTTTTCTGATTCCTTTTTTCCTCAAATAATGAGTGGACCTTGCTGGACTGCAATAGCTCAACAAACCAATATGAAGCAAATATTCTTTGTACCGCCACAAAAATTAAGCTGGTTTCATGCTTGAAAGAATTCTGGGTCCACTCAGCTTAAAATTTCATGCAGCAACTTCTGCAGAAAGCATCTATTACATCATTTTCTAAGAATGTTCAATTTGAAGATATCTTATTAGACTCTGTAAGCTTAGCTCTCCATAAAAATGGAAATTCAAATGTTTCTTGTCAGTATATGTTTAGGAAATATCTTCAACTTCTTTTAAACATTTTCCTTTTAACTCTTTGAAAATGCCAATATTTTTAATTTATCATTAAATCAATGAGAGGCTCCCTTAGCCTGCATGAGAATTAGACAATTGGACCCTATCCCTAGTTAGCATTAAAAGAAATGCTGCCCAAATCATTATCTCTCCAGCTTGTACTAAAAATTGATTTCTGACATTTACTGAATCCAAGCTCTGTAATCCTGGGACAGGAACTGCAGTCCCAAAACAGACGCGCTGTCAGTAGAGGTTTGGCTCTTCCTGGATTAGTCAAGAGAGGCTGTCAGCTCAGCTGTCTTGGACACACAACAGAGGCAGAGGTCATCTCTCAAATAGCTGGGTGCAGGCATTAACACACCTCCAAAATCCACCCAGAGCCAGACAAGCAGCGAGGGTGGGCTGTGCAGTGGAGACAGACTATACCCTTTACACAAATCCCTGCTTAACAAGCAGAACGCAGGTTCCTGCATTCTGCACCTGCTGTATTTTCCAAGGCAGAAATAGGATGAATTAACCTGATTTCTTAAGGTTACTGAATTCATGTCTTTCAAAAAAGGATGGGATAGCTCTCATGAAAGGTACAGACCTTTCCCATCCTTCAGCAAAATAAAGGTTGGGCAAATTAGATCTGTAACACCACCATCATTACTGCTAGGTTATAACTTCACTTGACATAGAGTGGGCCAAATTCTCTACTGCAGTAACTCCCCTGACGTCAGTGGGGGAAGGTCAGCAGGAAATATGGCCCCAGCACTGAACACAATACAGGAACGCTATGTAATTTTCCACCCACCCTAAATTAATCCAGAGGCATAAAACTGACTGTCCCCAAAGTTATTAAAACACTTATGGTGAGAAAACACTGATCCATACAAATAGTAGTGGCCAAGATAAGCAAATATCGGTTAGTGTTGAGGAGCAGGGAAAAAAAATAATCCAGAACCAGTTCTGTATTCAGCAAATATAATAAATAGCAGCTAAGGACTACCCAGGAGACAGGACAGCCAGGGAAATGTTTAAACCACCCACTAGTTCCATCTGCTGGAATTAGTTCAAAATCTCACCCCATCTAGATCTTTACAGCTACTTATGTTACTAGCAAATTGCTAAGAGGGTAAACAGAGCTTGTATACAGAGTTCTGTCCTCTCACAACTGCATTTTAAAAGGAATTGGAAATGTTGTTTTATTTAAAGAGAGAGGAAGATTGCTAAAACAAGATGATAATCCCATGATAAACTGCAATGGGGTTCATAGAGCAGCTGATGAAATGCTTAAGCAGACCTGTGGTGAAATTAAGAGTTTAAAGGAGCCCTGATTAGTCACTCCCCAAATAGTCCTTCAGGTTACTACTTTAACTACAAATTTATCTAAAACGCTGGGTTAGGGTTGGGCTTTTTAAGAGGTCTATCAGCATATCTGCAATCTAAAAAAACCCAAAAACATCACCATTGGATAATTTCTCTCTACCTTTTCATATCAGATAATTCTCAAATTGTATCTGGTTGCTTTAAACTGATGTTGTAAGTAACTTCAACTTATTTGAAAGGACGTGAACTTTGCAGAGATGGCCCAGAATGACCAAACCTGAGAGTTTCCACCATTCTCTGGACCAAGCTGAGTAGTCAAGCGACAGAATGAAATATTGGGGATTTACTTTGTAGTTATGATATACCAATTTTTAGCAAGGCTATTAAAAATATTCTAGTTGATAGGAAGGATATTGTCACTGCATATGAAAAGGAGATAAAACTCAATATTATAAAATGCATCTTTAAAAGATATGTACACTTTCATGGTAGCCTCCACCCATGCTGTTTCCACAAGAGGGGAAGAGAATGCAGAACTCCTGCAGGCAGAAGTTCTGCAGATGACGAGGAGCCTGGTTCATGTGGTGACATAGACATTACTCACTTCTTGTTTGCCGTCTGAAAGTGAACAGTCATTCTGGAATAATTCTTATCCTTCTGCTTCTCTCTGGTGGCAGAGGTAACAGTGAGGTCTCCAAAGAGGTCAATTAGCCACGTCAGACGGGCAATTCCACTGAAAGCTGGGAATCCTGATTTGTTTTCATCAAGGACACTACCTGGTGGAATAGAAACTCTTGAGGACCAGGAAATAGAATAATGCCTTCTGCATAGGAAAGGATGAAGAAACTGCAGTGTTGCAGGGTTAAAGATCAGGGTGTAGAAAGGTCAGTGGATGGACTGAGTAGGAAAGTCAATAAACACATTTAATGTCGAAATGGATCAGTTGATGAGCTATGGCAGAGGGCTGCACAAAGTACATATACAACAAACCCTTCAGGACACGGTGAGGACAGAAGGGTGTATGTGGATTCAACAAGGGAATTATCCAGAACCAGTACCTGTGTATCTACTCAGTTTATAGACAGAGTTTTGTGTGAAAGGAGTGAATGAAGCCTGGAAGCACTGGCATCCCTAGGGAGCAAATACAGATGGACTTTGATTTCTTCAGAGCTACTGACCTGTGAAATGCAAAGTTCCCTTCACCAGGTCTTTCCCAGCCACCTCTTTTTTCAGCTGCTTATACTCTTCAGTAAGAAGTTCAATGTGCTCCACATGGAGTACTTTACCTGCCATTAAAAAAACCAAAACAAAACCACAAAAAACATCAGGACAGATTAAATAAAAGTTTTCTGTGTGAACCAAAGTCATGTCTAAACAGTAAAGGCTTCACTAGCCACCAGTGTGAACTCACACAGAAATATTCATTCATTTCTCAGAAAGTGATGTCAGGAAGAAAATCAAACATGGAAACATGGACCCTGTGCTGAAGTATCAATTTGGGTTAAGGATTTTCAGGAGCCAACAAAGACAGAGACTGCAGGGACAGTAACCACTACGTTTAACAGAAACTCTGTAATGAAACCCAGTATCCAGCTAAGCCTGAAACATGAGTCTTCAGAGTAACAGATGGATTAATTCTTGGCTTCTTTCCCCTCACATTTCCTTGCTCTGCATTTTTCATCCCAGGGCAGTAAGAAAGAAAAAGGAAGGGGTGGAAATAAAGCATAATGCTCAGACCCAGATTGGAACAATTTTTTAAGGAATATCTCCCTCCAATTGCAATTAATTGGGCTACTTTGAAATAGAGGTTATCCAATACAATTTAAATATGTCCTTCATTCAGTATGTGTTTCTCTGGAAGATTTCCAGGAGAATCACTATAGGCTGCTGATAATAACTGCTTCTACTTCAAGAAAAGAGCCATAAATTCTGCTCAATGTGAAACCATTTGGTGAGCAACAAGGCAGTAATGTGTTGGTACAGGGAAACAGGAAAGCAGAAATCCTACACCTCCAGTGTTTCAGGACAAAAGTCACAAAGCAGATCTTTAAGAAGCACTGGTATAAAAAGTGCAGCTTGTCCAAATGATTTGCACTCTGCTTCTGACCAGCACTGCTCTGCCCCTTGCAGCCCCATTCATCCCTTTGCACCACCGGGATGGGACCACATGGTTTCTGGAAATAAAAAGATTTTGCTTAGAGACAAGCTGTCTTTCAGACAGGGATGCCTTGCTGGCCTACTGCATGAGCAGTTGTGTGTGGCTAGCACATCACAAATGCTAGAAGCTAGGAGAGCTGTTTACAGTTTCATTTCCAGGAGAGAGAGGACAGGAGATTGCACAAGTCTAATAGCTGCACTCATCCAATGTTTTACTATCACAGTGACAAAAGTTTTTCCTCTTTAACTGCATTCCAAGCATCACAAATAGAGGCTAGAGTTTTTGTGAGGGCAAACATAGCTTACTCTTAGCATTGACATTTATGTGTTTGTTCCCCTGTTGGCACAAGTCTTACATCCTGGACTGGCACATCTCTGAGACAGTCATACTCCCTTTTACATGATGACTAAAAGTAGGCTGGGGACTTGCCTTTGAGTTCAGACCCAACAGGCAAGACTGCTTACACTCCTGGGAACAAATGTGTTACCTTTCTGCTCAGCCATCTCCCAGAGCTCATGGGCTGCCTTTGCAGACAGTGCCATGGGGTACTCAACAAGGACATGTTTCCCAGCTTCCAAGAACATTCTGAAAGGGATAAAAGATCAGCCATTAAAAAGAATATTATCCTAATCCTCTCTCACTGTGCAAGCTGCTTCTCATTCCCACCGCCAGCTTCACATGGAGAGATGCACAACATGGAGTAACAGAAATAAATGGCAACTTTCTTAGGAAGGATGGTGTAGTGGCTACATCACACATTTAAACAGCAGAGGAGCAGGGTTTTAATTCTTCTTTTGCCACAAAATTCCCTCATTCACCTACAACAAGTCACTAAAATGCTACAGCATTCAGCACTGCAATTTATGACTTACAGACTTGCAAGCAGTTGGAGTGAGGCACTGGACTACCCTTCCACAACATAATCTATGAGGAAAGGCTTTAAATCCTGTTTAAAGCTGCCTGTCCATCAAACACAGACCTAGAGGTGTGGAAATGGAAATACTTGAGAAATTAATACATCTTAAATCCTACTCTCTTCCAGGGCTTATTGGTGCTCTAGGGAACTCACTATCATTCACTTCAGGCCTCTAATCTGGCAGTCTTTCCTCAGTGTTCATATCTTCTCCTGCAACAGCTTTACACAGCTCCTCTGTGCTTCTAAAATATAAGGGAAATGGGGAAAAGAGCAAGGGAAAACCCCCCAAATACCTGATGGTTTCTTCATGGCTTTTGTTCTCTGTGCTGATGAAGGCTGCATGGATGTCTTTGTTTCTCAGAGCATCTTCCAGGCTAATCTGCTTAGCTTCATTAATATTGCCAAAACTTCTCCTGTATATTTAGCATAAATACAACCAGAGTATAACTATCATGATCCATTTTTCCCAACCAGTTGTTGTGTAGCAGTACTTAAAAATTGTTCCCATGGACCACTGTCCATGTACTAGCAGTACTCAAAAATTGTTCTCATGGACCACTGAGTTCAACCAGGGTATAACAACCAATTTCCTATCCAGGAAGAGCATGAGCACTTACAGACAAAAGTGGAATGGAGAAGAGAAAAAAAATGGACCAGTATGCAGGTGGGGGTATCAGTCCAGAAACTGGCCTGCTATTGAACTGTCAAGTCCTTCTGATTTTAGTGTTTCAGTTTTTAATAAGAGATGTTGTGAAAGAGTGACCCTATGGGTGAACTTCTCCCTACCATCCTGGACAATGTGGACAAAAGCACTTGAGATGGCAGGGATGCACACAACTGCAAGTACAGACAAGCAGGAGAGGGACTAAGCAGATGCTTGGTTTTGATGGTTAACCCTGCAACACACACAGCATGTCAGTGCTAAGGGGAAAGCTCTCTTGGGCAGCAAGCTGAGCACAGCTCCAGCTGAAAATGAAACACACAATCGCTCCAAAAGCCCCTTGCATTAATACTGACTGGAGCAGGCACCCTGACAGTGCTAGGATAGGTGACAGAGGGCAGGAAGGCAGGCCACAAGCAGGACTTGAAAGCAAAGAGAGGTGGTGATTGTGTTTGACTGGGATCCAAGGAAGATTACTGTGAATCATGCATTTCAAAAGCATTGCTCCTCAAAAAAAGACAATGGTAGAAACTCTATCTTCATTGCTCTTCAAGGCTATCTGTAGCACTAGCAGAGGCATCAGAGAAACAGAAGCGTATATGGTAGGAATTAAAGTGGGTTACCTGATCAATCCTTTCTGTCTCAAACAATCCTGCACAATTTAAAAATAGCTGGAAAAACACATTCACAATCTGAGACCCATTAAAGGTACTGCCTATTTCAAACTTTTCTGCTCCACTGTAATGGGTCAAACAGTCCAGCAGGAATGCTCAGAGGGAGATCCATACTAAATTTCCACAGTTCCAAACTAGTGAGAAAAACTCATTTTCTCTAAGAAGCGTAAGAAGGATAAAAAGCAACCGTATTGCATGTAGCAAATAATGGGATTTTCTTTAGATATCTACAGGTTCAATACCTGGTTTAAAAAATACTAGAATTTTATTATGAATTTGGAGTATTGGGGGCATTAAAACATGTTTTTGCAAAATAACTTTTTAAAACTCTGTAAAACCTTTTTCTTAACATTTCTAGAAGTGTCATGCAGACACGAGATCATTAGTGCACTTATTGTCTGCACTACCTTAAATCTACAGGAAATTCCAGTCAGACAATTTATTTTTATCACACAGATTCTACAGCAAGAACATCTCTCAGTTTTTATTTTAGTAATTTCTGAAAGATATCTCACTAAGGTAACCTATTTGTTCCCTCTTGCAAAGCTTTCTGAAATCACCTCTGAGCTGCCACTCAGAATGACAGGTGCATTTGCATGACCTTTCCCTTTTTGGCTTAAAAAAGAAGAATAAACCACTGCAATATACATATTAGACATGCTAAGATAAAATTTCTAACCTGGATACAAATCCAAAGAGTTTCAGGTGCTCAGAAGGACTAGAAGGCATCGGATTCATCAAGTCTCGGATTCGTGCCAAGCCAGCAATTCCAACTCCAACCACCACTGTCCCAAACATTTTGCTAATCTGTCCAAAAGAAAAAAAAAGGCAACTTTTTTTTTTTTTTTTTGGTAACAGGGTCAAGTGCAACTTGGAGGGAAGGTGTGAGAATGGATACTCTTGAACCCTGCTTTCATAGCATTATTCAGGTGTCAGCAACCAACTAACAGAGATGTGATGTTATAGGCTAGTGAGCTCACTCATATCCATTGAAATGGGATCCACCAGTTCAGCCTGTCATAGGACTGGTCTTGATATTTGTATTTAACAGCTATTAAATCACAGCTCCAGCAAAGTTCTTCCTTTCTGTGAATAGAAAGCAGACTTCAAAAGTGAGACATTCTTCTATTTATATCGCCACTTCCAAGCTGGAAAGGAGCCAAAAGGTTCTGCAAACCCAGCAGAGCTTTATATAAAGCCTGCTGACTTCCTGAGCGTCTGCAGCACGGTGCCACACAGACAGTCCTAGTGCTCAGCAGCATAACAGGAATATTTTGGGACAGGAAGCAGAGAGCATCTCTGTGTTCCCCATGTAACCATCGACACATCCTGCAATACCAAGCTGTAACCAACCACTGAATTTTATCAAGATGCTTGCTTGACATTTCCATGCCCAAAGAAAGCTCTGCCATCTCTTTAATGACAAGTAGGCATCTCTAAGATTTACATCTCCTAAATGAAATTGCTGACACAACCGCATAATATGGAAGTTGAGACAGGCATTGCACTCACTGGCTGGGCTGCTGGGCCTCTGGCAATAAATTCTGTTGGTTTTATGATCTGCTGTTCATCTGTGGAAGCACTTGACAACTGATGAAACCTTTCAAACCTGCACTGTTCCAGCATCCTGAGGACTAGCAACACTTTGAAGATTTACAGGAAAATGGCCTAAAATATGCTAGGTCAGATCAGACTCTCTTCAGTTTTTGTTCCTTCTGTCTCATGAAAACATCCCTTCAATCTCTGTTTCTTCTGTTTCAGTCTTCTTCCTGCCACTGCCAATCCCTTCACTTGAGTGAACTCTTTAAATTGTTTACATTGCTTGGCTGCAGTCCTTCACATCTTTCTGAGATTGAGATGGGTAAATGGACAACCCTACTTAAGTCCTCCTTGTGCCTCTTGTCTGACAGGATGACAGTGCAGCAGCAAAGACATAAGTGACTGCTCTGGCAGTGCAAGAGGTTGACAGCTGCTGGCACAAAGGAAAAAAAGATCCCCTCTGTGGATATTCTCAGTTCAGTCAGAGAGAAAAAGAGAAAGATTTCTGCCAGGCTAAGCCTGGGAAAAAGTTGAAGAGGAATGTAAACAATCTATTATCTTGCTTTCCGTTCATATTGTTTATAGATATGTTCTACCACACTGACCTAAGTCCAGTGTACCAATGAGGTGAAATGTTTGTTTTTATTTTAAGACCAATGGAATTAATGTTCACGATGTTCTCTATAAAAGAGAGAGGTGCTTTTGAATAAACATTCATTTGCCTTCTGAAATTTTACAAGTCATTTTGCCCATCCCTGGCTCAACAGTGTCACCCCTCTCCAATCACATGCCATGTCTGTATTTTGGCTTTCCTTTAAGCTCCTGCCTGTGTTGCTGAATGCCCCTCACTTTATACATGCCAAAAAGACACAAAGGTAAAACACCGAGCAGCATGTTTTGTGTAAGAAAATAAATTAGTGATATATCAAAGAGTTCTCATGGGGAATTACAGCGACATTTTATTACCAAGTATTTGAGGTATGACATGGTGACACTATTCACCAGGAAAAAGAAGTGTGTAAGACAGGGGCAGGGGGTGGGGTAAGGGAGGGCAACGTAACCACAAAACTCATTTTCAGTACCACACACAGGCAGAGTCTTAGTCTGGGCTCTCCATCACATTTCCTTTTCTCTGTGGCCAAAGAAAAAAAGAGACAGACTTGCAGAATGACCTCAGCTGGAAGGAGCCCCAGAAGGTCACTCAATCCAAATCCCACTCAGTTGCACCAGAACCATGCTGAGTGCTGACCGCCCCCATGGCTGGCAATCCTTCAGCGTCCCATGCCTCTGCCACAGTGTTTGACCACTGCCACAGCAAGGAAGTTTTTTAGTATTGTAAGGCTCCAAACAACCATGATCAATGAGACTTTTAAAAGGGCTTATGGTTGTTCATGTACTCTGAGTTAGATGCACAGGAGAAATACCAAGAAGATACTCTCAAGAGGTCAAAACAACAAAAAGCTGGTAGCTTTAGAGAATCAGACAAATTTGGCAAGTTTAGGGCAACATTCAATCAACAGATAACACTTTTTAAAGCATTAACTTGGCTCATTCAACTTTGCAAACTCAAAGACAGCTCAATTTTAAGTTACTCAAAAGTCCAAGAAGAGGGAGTTAGAAGAGAAAGCAAGAAAGAAAGAAAACCAGAGGAGATATAGAAAAAAACAAACATAGCTACCAGCTCCTGGGTTCCAGCAGTGCATAGACATACATTCCAAGAGGCAGTACATTCAAGACATCTGACTGCCTTGTGTTAGGCCTTAAATACCCCTTGGCCTTCCTGGGCCCTTCCCGGGCCCTTCCCCCAGGTGGGGCTTTTGTCATTTGGCCACTCAGGAGCTGAGCTAGGGGTCCCAGAGGTGGGCGTGGAGCATCGCCTCTACTGTGCCAGGGATTGGCAGCCACTGCCAGGCTGGGATACAGGCTCTAGGGTGGGGGTGTACAGGGCAGGGCACTGCCCCTTCCTCCACACACATACAGCCCATCACATCTCGAGACATCAATCTTTCCAGTCTCTCAAAAGTCCAGCTTAAAAAGAGCTGATCAGGAGCTTACTTTAAGTTCAGAAATTTTCAAGGTTAGTGGAGTGTTGAGCTGTTAATATTTTCCCACTGCCTTCAGCGGGATCGGGAGTTGAGTTGTACAGCAAACAAATTCCCCTGAACCTCCTACAGTTATGTTGTTTCCAAGAACTACTTTTTTGTTGTTGTTTGGTTTTGATTTTTTTTTTTTTTTTTTTTTTTTTTTTTTTTTTTTTTTTTTTTTTTTTTTTTTTTTTTTTTTNCTCCAGCAAAGCAGAGAAAGTGGGGGAGCTGACTACCTTCTTCAGGGAACAAAGAATGTCTCTCTGCAGATGCTCAGGTAGCTGAATATCAATATTTTTGCCTCTCCTCCAAAAAGAATTTCCTGGTTTCTTCTGATCTCCTCAAAACTAATGTTTAAGAGTAGCATGAAGATTTCAACCTAAGAACAAGACTTGTTACTGTGCAACCTGTTGCCATAGCAACCAACCATTTGGTCCAGGTCAAGGGTTCAGTGGCTAATACACTGAAAGAGAGAGCTATTAAATGTATGGTCCGGAACCTTTGCTTACACACGTAGCTAACAGAGAAACTGCTGTGTTTGCATCCCTGCTGCGGCTTTTTATTACCCTCATTTTGCTCACACACCAAAATCTGCAGCTGCTCAGGGAGGAAAAGTAAATTAGGTGTTTTTCAGAACTGTTACAAACCAGGTAAGACCAGAATAGAGAATTCTCATCTGGGAGTCCAGATGAATTTATAAAAGTTTACCTTTTTTTTTCAAACCTTTACAAGAGGATAACAGCCACAATAATATTTCAAGTAAAAAATTATGAAGTAGGAAACCCAAATGACAAACTGCTCTGCCTGCCTTTCACATCTTTTTCTTAAAATCAGTGATCTCTGCTAAAGCTTTAATAAGAAAATATTTCAAAGGCATTTTCAAGGCTGCTGAGCTTTGATTCCTGTCATACTGAAAAAAAAAATCATACTGTAAGTGATGCAACAGTATCCAAAAGCATTTTCTCCAACCTTTCCTAATTGGCTGCATGAAAGCAAAGAGAGCTGATGAGAAGATTAGGAAATGTCTTTCATGCTCACATGCTGTGACTAAGGAATGTCTCTCACATCATAGCACCACCCACCCTGGCCGGGTTGCAGGCAGCTCTGCCAGGCTCACCATAGTCCCCTCTGAACTGGGACAGGGGATGGTGGCTGACACTGCTGCTGTGGAAGCTCTTCCCCACTGACAGCCAACACAAGTGGCTCCTCTTACCAAGGGAGATGAGCCCTGCGTGACACAGAGAAAGAGCTGAGAAAGGCAAATAGCTGAAGAGGATCATTTATTCTACACCAAAAGATCATCATACTATTGCCCCTCTGCTCTTGAGCTTTCTGTGCTTCTGCTGCATATTTCCTGCATTAGATCAAGGGTACCCCATAGTAATTAACAAAAACAAAATATAGAACTGGTTTATACCCAAATAGTCTTGCAAAATTTAGCAGCAAAATGGAATATTTAGCAGCAAAACAAACAATGGAGTAAGTCCAAAGAAATCCATCACCCAGTACCAGTGCACCTCCCCAGCGCAATCACAAGGGGGATCCTACATCTCAAAACTGCTAACACTCACTGGGATAAGCCTGAGGGAAGTGAGGCTTACCTCTGTTTTGTGCAACACCACTAAGGCCATGCAAAGGACTGCAGAAGCAAGCTAAAAGACAAAACTTAGAAATTATCTCCCCTTCAATAAAGTTTCTCACGGCATGCCTAGATGTTACAGAATGAGTACAAGCTCCTTTCTCCCATGATATATAAAGAATTTCAGTAAGCCCACTGAATTTTCCCTGCAGTCTACAAACTCTTGTTCCCAAAAATATGAATGACTCACATCAGAAATCAAAATATTTTATAGTTAATGTCACAGATGATAGCATAACACTGATGAAGGAGGTTTTCCTGAAGCAATCTCAGCCTGGTGTTATAAAGTGTACTGCTTCAAGTGCCACATGTATGTTAAGAAACCTCACAGATAAGTATTTAATCTGAAAATAATGTTGTCAAGGGATCAGGGACCACTCATGAGACCCCAGGACAAAAGATTGCATATGTAAAGGGGAGGGAAAATATGTTAATGATTTCTGGGAAATTATTATCATATGTATGTTTATTCTGAGAAAATCAATAAACATATATGTAAAATATAGTATATAAAGAGGACCTCTTCTGTATTCAACATGCATGAT